TTTCCCTAGCCTAATTTACCTTGTCTTTAGAAAGGATTTGTCATTTTATTTTACAAGGAAATAACTCCTGTGCGGAGGTGCCTCTCTTTCCTTCTGCTGTGGGTCTTCAGATGCCTGCAGAGACTGTGCCCATCTACAGGGCAGCTAAAGCTACAGGAGATGAATCCCGTGCTTTGTGTTGGAAATGATGGCACAGATACAAAAGGGCAGTTCTAATGGAAGCTGACCCTCTTCTGGCCAGTTCTCTCATTTCTCTCTGGTTCTCTGAATAAAAGGAAATTAGAGCTGGTCCCCTGCTCTACCAAATTATAAGTGAGAAAATGTGGGAAGTCCGGTGAGATGTGTTGCAACCGAGAGTGCTCTTCAGAGGAAGTTTATTGACGATGAAAGTAGTGGCTGGAGAAAAGATGTTCAACCTGTTTGGTACCCTTGACGTAACTCCTACGAGAACACGTCCTCTCTTCTGGAGCGTGCTTCCCATTTAACAAGTGCAGAGTGATCACAACCCCCAGATTAGAAACCATGCATTAAATATAGCGTTAATCCCCAATGCGTAAAGATTTTTAGGGTTCGATGGTCCTTTGTCTTTCATCCAAATTGACGTTGTGCCTTGCTATCGGTGTCAAAGAGTAAAGAGGGCAGCCAGGAGGAGTTTGATTTGGTGTTACCTGGAATTTCTTTCTTGAATGTAATTTGTTTATTAAGTGAGTAAAACTATTTTTTAAGTTTTTTTTTTTAATATTCAATTAGCAATTGCTTATTTTTAGTTGCTGAAAGCTAAAGAAATATTTGGCATTGTACTTTAATGTACAAAATGGTTTTTATTGGTGGAGGAAAACGCTGTTCGAATAACAAACTTTCTTTCCATAAAGGACAAAATTTGTTAATTTTCTTACCGAAGGCTGTGGCCTGGTTCAAGTAATCCAGGATAGGCTGTATCCATTCTAGCTGGCCTATTCTTGGTTACTTGCACTGGGAAGCAACCACAACTCCGTGAACCAGAAAGACGAGGCTCAAGGACGCGTGTTATTTTCTGCTCGCTGTTAAGAAGATGCGCCCAGTCCACGAAACAGGAGATTACAGGAGCTTGAGTTGTCATGGGCAGATTTCTTTGTCATTACTTGAAGGTTTCATTATTGTAAAGCTGGTTTTGAAAGGCAATTCTTTGTGTCCTATTTATTTAATTGATTAAAATTGAGCTGGGTTTCTCTTTTGGTTTACAAATATTGAGTCTTTTTAGCTTAAGACTGCTTTGAGGTATAGAAAATGTATGTGGAAATACCAAATGCTTGAAAACAATTAAAGATAATTACTTGTGTTCTGCCATTAGCAGCTGTAAGTACAGAACCCTGTGAAAACATGCCTAGTGCCTGATTTATGCCTTAACATTTTAAGAGTAAGGTTCATTTCAAATTAAAAAAAAAACCTCTATTCCTCTAAATTCTTACTGTGATAAGGAAGAAATTAGTGAGCATACAACACAGAAAAACTGGAGGGTTTGGGGTTTTTTTTAATGCCCTGAAGACAGTGTATAAATCTCAGAAAAATGCCAGGAGCCAGATAGTCTAGAGACTTAAACTGAAGACATCAGGCAGCGGAGGAAAAAGCCAAGCCACAAATAACCGTGCGGCATTGAGATGCAAGTCCAGCCGCTAACAAAGTAAAGGGGAAAAAATTCCAAATGAGGAGGAAGAGGAGAAAAGAGCTGCACTGTCAGCTGCAGAAAGCTTTTTATGTGAAGTAAACCAAAGAGATTTTGTAGCCCAGGATACCGGTACGCTTGCAGTTGCTTCCAGGATCTAAGTAGGACTTCTCAAAAAAACTTTAAGGGGAATAACCATCCAGAGTATTAATGTACATTGTTCTGCAAAAAAAAAAAAAAAAGTATTGTTAAAACAAAAAAAAAAAAAAAGGGAAAAGGGATGAAGGAGTTGGGGCTTTTTAGAGGAGAGAATTAAAGGAAAAATTTGGTGAGGCCTCATCCTAAGAGATCGCATTTATTATTAACAAGGCATTTAAAATGAGGAGCGAATCTGTTGGCCAGAGCCCAGTAGGTAAGATTTAAGGCAAAGCAACAAGAGGAACTCAAGCAGAGGAGGTTGAGGGTGCTCTGTGGTGGATCAGGAGGTCTAAAGTGCAGGATGGAGACGATACAACTTAAAGATGCTGTGTACTTACAGCTAATACTGACTGGTTGCAGTATTAGGAGACCTACGAATTGCCAAAAGCGCACATATTGCAAATGCTTGTTTTTTTAAGCCTACTCCTGTCCGCAAGCCTGTGGTTAGGGAGCTCTCAGCCTGTAGCTACTGGGTTGATTTACTGTATGCTCTCTTTACGGAGGAGGTGGGTTATGTTGCAAGCAGCAAAGTTCATATCCTTGGCTTGGAGTTTGTAATTACATTCCAAGTGGAAATACTTCACCGACACAGGCATAGATAGGGATGGAGAGTGAAGAGGAGACTTTTGCTGTGGCTGAAAACATTAGGTTTTAAAAGGGAAATTAATACTAAATTCCAGCACTTTACTATCTAAGAATGACTTTTAGACTCTGGGGTGTCCCTTTTGTGCCCTCAAAAATAAGTGTAGGAATATAATTTAAGGCTAAAGAATTAAAAGCTTCATTATGAACTGTAGAGTTAAGGAGTCACTTGCATCCTGCTGTCTTTCCTCTTATAACTGGCAAGCGGGACAGTCTCTTTCTGGGTACCCAAAGGCAGAGGGACTGCAACTGTCTTTCTACCTGTGTCTTTAAAATTTTCAAGATATAATTTGGAAAGGAAATACTACACAACAACTTTGTGTAGTAAGATTTAAGTGAAAAATTAATTGCCTTATTATAGGAGAGGAAATTACTTGGTTTATGCCTGGTGAAATACAGGAAACCTTGCTGTAATTATCTGGAAAGAGAGTGGTGTTGAAGTACATCTGTTAACTGTATTTAATTCATAAAATGTCACATTTATTTAATTAATTGGTTAAGTGCTGCTATGGTTGTTTAAAAAAAAAAATCAATCTGGGTTATAAACTGTGATCTGTATCAAGGTTCTGAATTTGAGGGGCCAGAAATAGTTCAGTTAAACTTCATAGAAATAACTTAAAGCCCATCAAGTCTTCATGCTATGAGCTATATGCTACATAAAGCAAAGTGGAAAAATAATTAACATTTCTGCTTTAGTCATTAAGGTACAGCTCCATCATATATGTTTTTAATAAAACTTTGCTTTCAGTTTTAGGTTTGCAATTTCAAGTCCCTATTACGCAACTTTTTTCGTTCTTTTGCTAAAGGCTTTAATTGTTACACTTCAGTTCAAGCTGGCATTTCCATAATTTTCTCCTTCAGGCTTTTTCTCTGGGTGCCTTATGTTTTTTACCTTTTTGTTAATAAGAATGTAGTAAAATACATACAATTAATCTAGTTCTGCATATCAAAGAAAGAAATTCCTGAAATTGCATCAGTCCTGCAATTCTTCATGAATTCAGTTATATGCCAGACTTCACTTGAAATTTCTAGTATGAAGGATTATTTGCCAAACGAAGAAGATAACATGCTGCCAGTGTTTTCTCTCAAACTTTAATCTAAGTGCAAACAAGATAGATAAATATTTTTCAAGCAGACTCCCCTCTTCAGCTCCCCAGTATATTGTGAACTACTTGTAAGCTTTCTGAGCAGCAGTTATCTTATCTTGGTATTTTCTGTGAACGCAAATCATCTTGCTTGCTCTGAAAAGAGAGGCAAGGAGGCTCTAATATTTATTAATCAGGCTGTTGACAGTAGGCAGCCAAGCTGTGCCTGTATGGTTGTCAGTGCAAAAAGGCAAGATAGCCTTGCTATCAAGCTATCAAGCTTGCTATCAAGCAGCTAACCAAGCTGCTCAAGAGGAGAGAGATCCTGGGTATTGACCGTCTTTATGGCACGGTCCCAGCAGAAGATGCTGTAGACCTTGCCACCGAATTTTGAAAGCAGCGTTTGCTAGACATTCCTCATGGTGCTATGAAGATTTTTGGTGAAAGGTGTCTGCAGAGCTGGATGACTGATAACTGTACCGTAGTGAGATAGGTGCTTAGTGCCTGGAATTTAAAAAACCGAAAGAATTAGCCACAGGAAGAAAACAGTTCCCCTATTGTGCAATTCCTGTCATCATAGAGGTTTCATCACATTTATTCCATCTGTAAACCCCTTCAGTACTGAAGGCACCAGCACCAAAATCGTTGCGGTTGAGAGATCTGAATCCTCGCTTCTTGAGAAGCCCTACTGTCTCTCTTTGCCTTTAATGAGATTTTTCAAGAAGCATCACTCCAGATGATGCACAGTATTTGGAACTGCATAATCAGCATGGGTCTTGGCAGCCCATGCATTCAAATCTCTCATTATTGGATGTCTACTTTTATCTTGTATACTTATTTTTTTTTCTTTCAGCATTTCATTTGAACTGCTCCCATGCTAACTTTTGTTTCTTCAAGTGTTAGGATTACAGGAGTGTTTGGGGTTTTTTTGTTTGTTTTTTTTTTTAACTTTCACCTTAAACACCATTTGACCTAAATAGTCGTTGTCATTCCAGGTTTACGTATTGAAACGACCACATGTGGATGAGTTTCTTCAGAGGATGGGAGAGCTCTTTGAATGTGTACTCTTCACAGCCAGTCTAGCCAAGGTTTGTTCCTCTCTTCATCTCATTAGCCCTTACGGTGCTGGGCAGTGGACTTTGGGTTGGGTTTTCTATGGATGATTATTTCCACAGTTGGTACTATCTTAATTTTTCCCCTTCTTTTCTGCTTCTTTGTCTGACAGTGTGTACTTTGTCTGCTAGTGTGTGGGTAAGTGTTTCCATGGTAACGCCATCACATATGGGCTTGGCTCATAATGTAGCCTCCATGCGTTGCTCATAATGCCAATATGAAAGGCTTACAAGTTACCATGGTTATAGTGAGAAATTAGAACAAATAGCGTGTGAGTAAAGCAGTATATTAAAGCTGGGCATGAAATAAAATACACTGTATTTAACGCTATCTACATGATCAACCAGTGATTCAGAAATTTACTGCATCTGAAAATTGGGAACACGTTTTTATTCTGTCAAGGTGCAATTGCAATCCGGAGTTAGAAAATTAGCCATTTTGTAAAGCTTGAAACATCAACAGGAATATTTTGTGCCCTCTGGTCTCCAGTAGCAGTAGTACCTCGTAGGTAGTTTTGTCGTAGACATGGCAGTAGTAGCCATCTTAAATTCTTCATGTCTTTCAATGTATTGTATTTGTGCTGTCTTGTTTGTAAAATTACATTGATTATTTCTAAATAATACTCTAGCATAGTAAGCTTTTACTCCAGCCTAGCGTAGAGATGGTGGAAGGGGACAGGACCCTGTTTGATCTGCTATAGTGCCTTCTTATCAGAGGATTCTTCCCTGTGCTCCATTTACTGTGTTCTGTTCAGTCACATGGTGAAAATCCTAAATAATGGAACAATTTCATACTGCAGTTAGATGTCTGGCAGTTTTCATAGTCAAAAGATGATTGATTTCAACATCAGTTTTGTTTCTCAGTTTAAAATAGAGGAAAATGGTAACTCCTATCCTGCAAAAATAAGTTATAACTACCATTTTCAAGTACATGGTTATTTCATGTTCTGGTTTATTTAGATGCTTTTCCTTGGACAGTTTCTATCAGTTGCTGGATTCTAAGCTGTGCCTCACTTAAAGTATCATCTTATATGTAAAAAGAGAATTTCCCAGTATTGTACATGGGTATTTTTCCTAATAACATCTTTGTCTGATCTTTTGTGGTCCAATTATGCAATTTGGTAATCTTAAGTTTCTTACTGACCCGGTCGCTCCAAGGGCATCATTTGAAAAAACTGCATCGAGCTCAGATGCGTTCATTGCAGTTCATCTTCAGAGGCACATGGAAATGTATCAGCTGTGGAAATGGCTTCATATAAATTTTCTGTTAGCATTGGCTGGTTTTATGGTGATGTTAGGCGAGATCTCTGGATCCATCAACATCTAGGTACCTCCTAGGGTAATTATAAGTTGGTCCTAAGAATAAAACCTAATCAATAAATCACAGAAAATGTTAGAGTGCAAGTTAGCTTTCCATAGAAAGATAACGGTTCTACTTTTGCATTATCTCTTTATTAATCACTTCAGGTTTGCAGGCATATAAGTTAATTAACAAGGAGCAGGGAAGAAAATGAAGAAAAGGCATTTTATCTGAAATTATTTTGTGTCCCTTCTTTCTATAGTTCTGTGAAGTAACCTTATCTGCACATTGCTAACTTCAGGCTCCTGAATTCTATTTTTAAGTATGCAGACCCGGTAGCCGACTTACTGGATCGCTGGGGTGTGTTCAGGGCAAGGCTCTTCAGAGAATCCTGTGTTTTCCACCGAGGAAATTATGTGAAGGATCTGAGTCGACTGGGACGTGAGCTGAGTAAAGTTATTATAGTAGATAATTCTCCTGCATCTTACATCTTCCATCCTGAAAATGCAGTAAGTATTCTTAGTATTCGAAGTACTCAAGCATAACTTTATCTTTCTGGTCCTTGCCCAGACTTTTTGATTCAGAAAATAGCCTTTCAGAATGCTAACTTGTATTAGTTTCTGTATTTTCTTAGACTGCAGGAACATTCCAGTATTCACTGCCAAATGGTGAAGGATTAGGGCGAACTGATCTTGATGGTCTGTCATAGTCATGACTGGTCATCTGCTTTCAGTTTTAGCTTTTGCCATGAAGTCCATCAGTTTTGAGAAAGTGTAGAACCTGAATAACTAACCTAGCTCTGAAAAGTGAAGCTGCCCTCCAGCATAGTTTTTGTTCTTTGGAGGAGTGATTACAGAAATGATGGTTCACTTTTGGTACTCCATCTTTTTTCATTGTGTGAATGAAAATATTTTATTAGACGAGATAATTAATGCTTTACTGGTTACTATCCGAGTTCTGTATTTGTGGCTAAGGGGAAGAAAAAAAATCAAGATCCTGTTGTGTTGTTATGTTTCTCCTTTTAAGTATTTTTGTGATAACTCTCTTCATAAATAGAAACATTAGTCAACAAGTTCATCAAGTTTTAGGAATAAGGATAAAAGGCAGGCAACAGTATTTCAAGGGAGAATAATTAGGAGCAATGTGCGTTTTCACGGTGTTTCGTATCGGCTCCAGAAACTGATGGAATGGTCTGGCACTTGCTCCATCCATCGCTGCAATCAGTACAGATGCTTACATCTGTTTTGTAGCTGCCAGGAGAGCAAGCTGGAACTCGCCTTAGATCTATTGACTTTTAAACAGCCAGGCTGCACAATGTTTTCTTTGATGTTTTTAGGCTGCCTTTTTTGTGAACTGTTAAAATTAACGTAGGACATTTTTATCAGGAACACTGTTTTGCATGGTCCTGCCTCTCCAGAATAGCGGTTTTTTTTTTTTACATGAGCTATTTATTTTGCAGCAATCAGCTCTTAAATTCAGATCCTAATACTGTGATGCCCTAAATGATTGGGTGAAAACAGTTTTCTGGTTGGTGCCACACATGATTTAAAGTTGCTATTTATAATAACCAGGAGCTGTAGCTCTAAGTTATGTTCATGGTTAAAATTAAAAACCTGATCCAGATTGTCATTTGGTATCTTGGACTTCAGTGCCAAGAAAATAATGAGCTGTAGAAATTTGGGAGATGAAATTAAGGGCCTTGTCAGGGTGGTTTAATCATGTATAGAAATGTGCTGTTAGCTAACTGATATTCGAGTCTCTGCAGAAACCAGGGCTTGTAACAAGATCCGAGATAGTCTTTAAAAGACCTCAGTATACTTCCATAGTGAAGATACACAGAACTCCTTCCCCAAATCCAGCCCACATATTTAAGAAGTGTTATTATATGTATTATTTTCTGAACTCTCTCTTGAGGTCTTATATTTTAATTGGAGAACTGTTCTGTACTTGCCGTTTAAGTATTTCCTCCGCAACCTCATGCCAGCAGGGTTTGTTGCTGCATGCCTATGTTTAATGACTCACACTGATAATACTTAGATGGGAAAAAAAAGGCTTGCCCGTAAATAAAGTGTCAGTACAGCTTCATAACCTGTCTCTTCCTTCCAGTCTGTTCTGAGTATCAAGGAGGCAGAGCAAATTGAGCTGTCCAGTGTTGGGTCATGTAGGTTACCTGGACATGTAGGAGAAGGTCAACTGCATGTCAGCTGTTTTACAGTTGGATTTGGAAGGTCAGCTGTTTTACAGTTGGATTTGGGATTGATGTTGCGTACTAGAAAATGTGGACTTGAACCTGGTACTCCACTCGAATGCTAATGACTAGCAATTTGCCTTACTATAGGCAAAACTCATGTGTTCTTCACATCGTAAAGTCATCTTAACATTTGTTGGTTGCTTTGTTTCAGGTGCCTGTGCAGTCCTGGTTTGATGACATGACAGACACAGAGCTGCTAGATCTTATTCCTTTCTTTGAAGGACTAAGCAAAGAGGAAGAAGTTTACAGTATGCTTCATAAACTCTGCAACAGGTAGCCCTTAACTTTGACTGACTTCTGCTACTAGATTGAAGTTGCTAGAGGCTGTCTCCATCTTTTTCAGCCCTTTCAAATGTAAGCTCTGGGGAGATCACCCCTGTCAGAAGTGCTACTCTTGATCTTCCTGTTACATTGGACACGAAGGACAATCATGAGTGATGCTATTAAGCCTTCAGAAGCCTGACTCCTACGGTCATGTGTTCAGACTACTTTTTTAAAGGAAAAAAAAAAAAAAAAAAAGAAGCTATTTTAAATGGGACTCTTTTAATGAATTTCATAAATGGACATCTTTTACTGGATCAGCTTTTCTTAAAACATGCCAAAAAAAGAAGCTTGTATTTCAGCAGTTGAATTTCTCTCCCTTTCTTCCCCTCCCACTATGCAGACAATTTTACCCCCCTGCTTAGAGCAGTTGACCTGACTCTGAATTTTTTCTTACAGAATGAAGTGCCTTTTTGAATGTTATTTTAAGATAAAAATTCATTTTTGTATAAGACGTATTTCCAGACATCTTTTAGTCTTGTATTGTCTAAATGCTTTAAAAGGAAAAAGGAAAAATTTTATAGAGCACTGTAATATATAACAAAGGAAAAAGTTGAAACAAAGATGCTGGGTTCCTGTCTCCACAATGACATTAAGTTGTATTACATTTTGTCATGCTCAGAAGGTTTAAGCGTTTGTGGGAGGGGTGATTTGGGTTAATTACATGGTTGTTTCACTGATATGATTTTGGGCACAGTTTTGAACATATCTGCAGTTGTTTGAGTATTAGGGAATGATGGAATTGAGAAAATAAGGTGGCTAAGAGATCTAAAGCACCTTTTCTTCTAGACAGATGAAGTTCTATTGTCTCTGCTTACGCACAACTGCCATGCCTCTCGTTTTTTTTGGAAAACCATTATCTTGGGAGAATGGGGAGGAGGTCTATTTATTAGTTTAAGATTCTTTTCTTAAAAAACCCCATCTGGGTAAGCTGGATCTGTATTGAGCTGTTTGGAGTACTTTTTTCTTTTAATTGCTGCTACTGTATACTCACCAAATGGAGTTGACCATCGGCTGTTATACTGTTTTTGCCACTGTGCCTGTGCTATGAAACATTTTCTGTAAGCTGCAAACTTGGGCAATAAATAAAATGCAGGCTTCATAACCCCACCCCTATGTATTAATCCTACGGTATCTGATATACCAGAGAGCTCAGTTAAAGGTGACCTGCAAAGGATATATTTTTTTTTTAAATAACTTTTTTTTTTTTTCAATTGGGATGAAGCCCTCTCCTTTCTTTGGTATATAAAAATGCAAAAGTATTTTTTCCCACATGTCTGATTTGTATTTCTTCTTCCTCAAGGTGTAAGGTACAGATTGGGAGCTTTATCGAGTCTTGCTAGAAGGGCAGAAGTTACTAGCCTACGCTAAAAGTGGTCCTCTGGCTTTGGAGTTGAGTAAGTCTCATCTCTGAATCTGAGAACCTGCTTAGCATCTTCTGTAGTGTCACAGGTACCCTTTCAAAAGAATAACTTCTGAATGTTTTAAGCCTTTGAAGAACAAGGCACACCTATTTTTTTCTTTTTCCTTTCCAGTGTCACCTTTTCATTATTTTCCGCACCAGAAATCTACAAATGTAAAAGCTACAGCTATGTTTGGCTGTTGTCAGAGAAAACTAAATGGAGTAGTTGGTGCTTCTAATTAGCCTTGTGCTAAATTCTGAATAGTAGATCCCCTTTGCTTTTTCTGTTTTTCTCAAAGTCTTGATGACTTGGAAAAAAATTTTTGCGACGGACTGGGATTGCCATCCTTGTCTAAAACATTGGTGAAGCAGCTTAACAAATTCATTCATAGAAGGGCAGGCCAGCCTACACAGGCAGTGAGTAGATTGTTGTAGGCGCAGTATAAAACTGAGAGATGACTTGCCCCCTTGCAGTGCGGCTGTGCACCAGCCGCTCGCTGGGCCTCGTAGCGAGGGATGGTAGAGGCAGTCCCGTAACGCTCGTGAGTCTGTATGGCATCACCATTTTGTTTTCTTACCAGTTGGCATTACCTTAGTACTGTATAATTCTGTGCCACAACAAAAGACAAAACTGTCAAATTTTAAAACCTATGTTGTTTAAAAAAAAAAAAAAATATGAAAAAAAGGACGTATGGATTCTGGTTAGTCCATTAACGTTTACTTTCAGTTTAAGATTGTTTAATTTTGTATTTGACTTCAGAGTAATGAAACTGTAAGCTGCCAAAAAGTTGTTCTCTGAGCAGTATTTTCGACTGTGTTTGTAGCTTCTGGGCTTCAAATCCAGTTTGCAGGGAAGTATTCAGGTTGTAGTTAGTTGTGCAGGTATGATAGGAATGGCTGAAAAAATTCAAAGACTTTCTCGCTAGCATTAGACCAAACAATCTTCCAATTAGACAATAAATAACCCTACCGAGACATTACCATTTAACGGTTGTGACCTGTTGTACATGAGACGAACCATGTCATTAGTTTGCATTTATGAAAGCAGCGATTTCATGAACCAGTTGCCTTAAGTCTGTGAATGAATGTTGATTATTAAAGTGTCTTGTATAGTTTTAAAATCCACATATAATGGACAACTGAACTTCTGCACCAGCTTGTGGAAGAACGGTTCTGATGATGTTCTGCACAACCATACTTGTTCTGTATTGTTTATTTTGGCTGTTGAAATCCACAAATTTAAAAAAAAAAACAAAACTTATTTTAACTTAGTACAGCATTAAAGTGACACTTGATGACAATACAAAGGCAAAAAACTTAGCAACAGTTTTGATCTCTGCTAGTATCTTAAGAGTATTTTCTATAACTTCTGATTAATTTTTTTTTTTTTTTTAAACTCATTCCCATTGAAATAAACCTTGGAGTGCTCTGCAGTCAGGTTTGGACTTCCCTGGGTATTCCCATTTGGCCAAAGGGAACAAACTGTCATAGTTGGTTTTGACACTATCATCGTACTTGACATTTCAAGTGTTAAGTTTGCGTGAATATACATACGCTATATATTTAGAGTTTCTGCATTTTAACAAAGCAATATAGTTCTGTCCGTAAAGTCAGAAAGCGAGTGGAATGTTTGTAAAATTTGCAATACGGGTATTTGATTGTATTTTAAATACAAGATTTTAAAAATTAAACTAGGAAAAAATTTCTGTTTCCTGAATCTCTTGCATATTTTGAAGTGCAGTTAATGCATGCCAGGTCACCAGGGCTGTTATAAACCCTGGTTTCCAATTCTATTTCTGGATATTATAGAAGTATTAAAAAGTCTTTTCCAGTTGGTCATTCTGTTCAGCTAAAGAAACGCTGCCTGGCCTGAAGTTCTGTTGTCCTTTTTATGTCAGGTTCAAAAAGGTTTTTTGCCTGTATAGGTATTTTTAAATTAAGCTGTAAGGCAGAATGCCTTAGATGCTTGAAATCCAACTGAAGTGTTACGATTAAATTGCCATTTGTAAACTAGGGCTGTGCGCAGAATGCTTGTTAACCACCAGGAAGCGTGGCAGGTTTTGAATGGAAGATCGTAGCAAATGTACAATATTGCCGTGTTCATTTAGGTAGCTTTGGAAGAATAATTTGTCTCTCTGTTTTGCCCTTTAATCTTTTTTAAACAGCAAAGTTATACATGGAAGAAACTCAACACCTGAAGAGATTTGGTTATCGGTGTATGCAATCACTTTATCACAGCATGATTTTGATTAGACTGGTTGGGGACAATAAAGTATCTAAATGACACTGGTGTGTACTGATGTTGCAGCTCTTGACATTTCAGTGTAAAAAAAAAAATCTGTAGCTATATAATTTACAAACACATAATCCTATGTTTTACAGATTCTTTTTAAACTAATAAAACGCAGTACCGCACAGCCCTATTTGTAAAACAAAACCAAGTTTGTGCCTCTGATTTCCAAGGTGCTGTGATGTTCTGCCGTTGTGGGGCGAGGAGGGCAGGTGAGACTTGCGTGGGGCAATGGCTTAAAAATCTCTGGGCTAACTATGCAAAACCAGCTGTCGGTTTTCTGTTTCACATTATATTGTAAAAATCCAGCTGACTTTTTTTCTTCCTTGTTAAAGATCTTTTGGGAACTTCTTAACGGAGGAGTAAGCAATGGAAATGTTTGTTTCTTTTTTCTTTTTTTTTTTTTCCTAATAATGGAGCTGTTTACACTTTAATGCAATGAACAATCCAGCGATACTTGAGAAACACTACAGATACCATATGAGTGTTTTCAGGAGAGAGAAGTGTTGTCAATCAGGTATTGAATGGTTTCTTTACTGTCACAAATAAAAAAATTTTAACAATATAGTTACTTGTGCATGTAATACTTCTCTGGGAAAAAGAATTTCTGCACTTCTCCTTCAGGAATAGTCACTGCCCTAATTTGACAGGGACTTTATTCCTACTAATGCACATCCGTGTTAGACAGTAAAATCACCCATCTCTGTTCCACTCTCCTCCCCCTCTCTTTTTAAGTCATGTATAGGACTCCTTATTGACTGCCCTGGCACCTGCTTGTGCAAACAGAGCTGATGAACTACTGATGAACTCTGCTAAATAAATTGGTGGTGACTCTGGCAGATGTTCCAGCTATTTAGATCTCTTGGATGAGATCATACAATAATTTGTTCAAGTCTCAAAGCTGTGTGACTTCTTTTGAAGGGCTTACTTCAGCGACTTGAATAGCTGTTCTTAACATCACTGCCATATCCAAATGAATATCTGAATAAAACACTTTATTTGGTTGGGAAGTCTATTTTGGGACTTTTTATCTGACACAGTAAGACTTAGGCAGAGCCTTCCTTTCTAGGAAAAGACACATATTATTAATGCTTTATGAGCAAAAAACCTCAGGCCTGTTAGAATAAGCAGCTGGCTCAAGATAGCTCATTAGTTGCAATTAAAAATATTTTTTAGTTATTCCTGTGATCGGTTGGAATGACCTAGGCTGCCTTTTACTTTGTACTGATGGGTTGGGGTTTTTGATTTATTATTTTTTTTTAGGTTTTGGGGTTGTTTTTTTTTTTTAGTTTTACCAATCTCCTTAGCTGCTACTTAGGATAAAGATGCCTTTCTTTCACTCAGTAAAACAAGCATTTCAAAATTCATAAAACAGCTCATTTATAGTGGTGAGAAAGATACTGTTGTTCTCTCCTAGCTGATTGAAAGTGTTTGCGAAATCGAATGCACCATAATCTATTTATGTATAAGCTTTCCAATATTATTTTTTTTTTGTTCCCTTTTTATGGTGTTCTGACTCAGAAGGAAAGCCAACCGCTCTGAAATTCCCTGCAAGATGGGATAGGGCTCTTCCAGGTGGGCTGCAGCTCCAGGGGATCCTGCAGTCTCCGGCAGTTTTCCTGGCAAGCGACCTTCGCCACCCAGCCTCCCTCCCAGCCCAGCTGTGCTGGCAGGAGACCAGGCAAAGTTCTCCTGGACTCCGCTGTTGGTTCTGCTGGAGCTACTGGAAAAATAAATGATCTTTTGGGTAAAATATTGGTTTTGACAGGTTGGCAAACTCAAACTTGAAAAGCTTCCAGGCGTGTTTTGTTTTAAAGCCTTCTCCAGTGCTGTTTCGCAGGGAGCTGTGCTGAGGAGCAGGTCGTCCTGTAATTGCCTAATGCCACATTAATCGGCATTTCTGAAGCACAGGACATACACGAGCATCTTGGACTTAATAGAGATTGATTTGACTCAATAAAGTAGGTCTGCATGTGCGATTACACACCTTCCCAAACAGCAATTTAAAAAGGTTAGGTTTGGTCATTGCTTAAATCAGCAGCAAACTGCATTTTTGAGGTGATGGCTGTGTCATCTCAGCTGTATTCCCCGGACACGGACCTTGGGGACCTCCCACCGCTCGTCTCTGTGTGACTGGCATTGTTTAATTTTGCAACCGCCTTTTAATTTAGTGATGTCGACACATTTGCTCAGGATGTAAATTGCAGGAAAACGCTGGACAAAGAAACAAAACGCAGCTGGCCCCCGTCAGCCTTAGCCATCATCACGGGCTGGACTCCAGCTAGGACAAGGCTGTCGCTGCTTGAAGGCGAACAGAGGAGTCACCGTTAAGCCAGAAACGTGTCACCCCCTCTGAGAACCGCTGTTCTTACTGGTAACGAGGGTTGGTCGTGTTGTTCGTACAAATGCAATGTGCACCACCTATGAATTCCCAGCATTTCAATAAATGTTGCACTCGAAGAGTCGGGGGGTTGTTGGAGGAGTTACTGGCTTGACAATGGGTTGTTTTCTTTGTCAGATTTTAATGAGCTTTTGTGATAAAAACCAGATTTCTTTACAGTGTAACTTTGTGGTTTTTTTTTTTTATGCTTTGATTCAGTTTGACAATAAACTATCTGTGTTATTTTTTTCATCCTCTTCATGTCTGATAATGCA